AGCAAACTCCAGCTGCACAGACACAGAGCTGACACATTTAATCAGGGATTTTTTACTCTCACGGTTTATCAGGCCGAGATATTTCTCACACCCTTGCCTGCTCTCACCATCTTTCTTATCGAAGGACAACACTCCCACCTTTTCTGCATCCGTACTCTCTCGCTCTTCCTCTGTCACATCACGACGTCTATCTGCTCTGAGCAAATAACAATTTTGCTGAGGCACTTAACAATAACAACAGCCATTACAATTATCAATATATATTTTGAGTACATAATACATTGCTCCAAACCACAACTCTGCCATTCAAAGGTCCAGAAATGATTGCATTTTATTTGTTTTAGACATTCCTTCAAGTCTGTTTTTCAATATATTAAAGAGACATGCTGGGAGAGTAAAGCATTTTTAAATACAGATTAGGCAGAGCTAAGTTTTTGTGACTGTGCTTTATCTCCAACTGTAGCATGCATCATTGATGTGCCATAATGACTGCATTGTTGCCGCTTCCTTCATTACCCTTCATTATTTCTCAAGGACTTTGCTGCAGATTACACCTCTGCCTACCGGGGTTTATAGAAGCGCAGGGGCAGGTGTTTGTGTACATCTGTGTGAGTCAGAGCGAGTGTCTGTTGTTTGCGTGCACTTGTCACTCCATTCCCCCGTCTCTGAAATGCAATAATGAGTCCAGATGAGCTTGTGAAAGCCTCAGCAGTGCAGCTCAGTCTGACTCCCCACCTGGGCTGCTCCTCCTGGCCTGTCCCTTTATTAGCTTCCCCTCATGCTGGACACAACAGGAACAGCTTGGTACCCTCCTCCTCTCTTCACCACTCACACCTCTCCCAACTCTATTTTCTCACTAATTACCTTGTTGTACGAGCACCAAATGCTACCTAACGATTCACTTAATTGCAGTGGGGGTATATTAGATGATATCAAAGGACCCTTTTTTTAAAGTCATCCCATCCCATTGCAAAAGGCATTTAGCACCAACCCAAGACATCTGTTTCATTTCTGTCATTAGCATTTTTAAAGGTTACAAATGAAGAGGTAAAAGATACACACCTCAAGGTTCTGTGTCTTCACACCTCTGCTGTTCCTCTACCCGCAGACAATTACATGCATTTAATACATATACAACCACATACATGTCAGAGGGCCCGAGTCACATCCAACACTCAATTAAAAGTGCAACTGTTCACCCTAAACGCTTTTATCTGGAGCACCGCGTACGCCTGCTATCCATCCACCTGAAAAGATGGGGCTAATTAACATTTTCCTTGGGAGCCTATCGCCCCAGGTGTGCCTTGTCACACTTACATATACATAGATATATCCGCAGTGCTAGCAATTTATTCAGCAGCAGTGGCTGCAGCTAGCATTTCTGACACAGGCTTCACAATGATTTATGAACCTGCTCATTGACCTAGTTTATTCTGAAAAGAGAAAAGGGGGCACATCCCCTCTTATACGCAGCATATCCATCCCATGGAGCTGGCCTGCAGTGGGTTTTGGAGAGATGGGAGGAGGAATAAGGTTACGAAGCAGACTGCTCAGATACCCTGGAGGCACTTTACAACTTCTTTATCTTCCTGACAACAGGACAGTGAACAGCAGCTCTAATGAAGTCTCATCCCTAATGCAGCAAAGTATTTTTTTCTTCCTCTGCATGTGCACCATTAAGTTAGACAACACAAAGCAGTTCATGCTCCTGTCCATCCATTGGTGAATAACAAGTGTTCAACATCTTACACTTGGAGGAACCGTGGTTGGAGGGTTGGAGGACTAAGTCCCCCCCAATCTGGCTAATATTAATAATGCAGAGGCACCTCTCAGAGGCCTCTTCCCCCTCTTCCTCTCCGCTCCACCTTTCCTCCTCCGACAGAGAGAGGGGTGAGTGCTGCTCAGCTTGATGTCCAGCATGCAGCAGCACCACTCTGCTCAGTGGACACTGAGTTTAATCTGTTTCAGAGCTGCAATTCAATTATCTCGCCGGGGTCCTGCTCAACCACTCGTGAACGGAAGGGGGGCAAAGGTGTGTTCAATAGGAGGGAGGGAGGGAGAAAGGGAGGCAGAAGCCGGAGAGGGAGAGAGACATATCATAAACACAAACCCAGTTCAACATGGTTATAGATTTACATGTAGCTTCTTCTTGTGCGATTAGCTTTCGCATTACAATCGCTAGACGGATGTCAAGACCTGATAAGGCTAATCACTGCGGTAAGCCGACGCAGTGGGATTTGGCAGCCCACCTCATTCTGCCTCCCAGGCCCCCCTGAAGACCTGGCTGGAAGCTGAAAGCCCAGGGCCCCATTGAAATGTCCCTTTGAGTCTATGATGAAATGAAAACAAAAATACACAAAAAAAAAAAAACATGCTGCAGAGGATATCTATATGTTTCTTATGTAAGATTTATGATCATCACTACATTCTATTTGAGGCGATAAAGTACAATTAGACTGCACTGATTCCATTCATTGTGTTTCCAGAGACCAGACACTTGATTCACTCAGACAGGAATCCTGCAGATCAGCTTCAGGACATCCCCTACCCAATATTACTTGTCATTAAAATTGTAGCAAGTCATTAAATTAAAGAAAAAGTCATTAAAATATCCTACCAGCATATTTCAAACTCTGTTTCTTCTCTCCACCTCTGTGAAGCAGGTTTGAGGACTCGGATCAGCTCATGATGAAACAGTTGATATTAAAAATGATTCCACTTTAATAAAACTTCATTGCACTTCATGATCAAGTAGTGTGGCAACAGTCCCTGTTGAACTGCACTTGACCCACTGACACTAGACCCACAATTCATCACAATCAATACACTTTTTTATGCAGCCTGTTCCATGTTCCAAAAGGTACAAACGTGGAATGGAGGGAATTGTTCTGACTTTATGTCGACAGCAGAGGTAGCTACAGAGGCAGATCAACATCTGTGTGAAAAAGGCAGAGCCGACATGGTGGGATAGATGCTGACGTTGATGCATTACTTGTTATTTCCTGTGATTCTTTCCTGTGATTCTGAAATTGAAAAATAACAAACATATGCCAGCTTTGATTGGATAATGAGAGGTTTTCTCAACGGCAATATAGTGGACTCTCTGTTTCGGGGCTGGTGTCCCAGGCTGGGTCAGATCAGGTTTATATGAGTAAAACTGTGTGAGGTGTAGTGCCAATATTAGTTCACCCTGAAAAAGAACTGGATGATGGGACAACACTTAGACAAACAATTACATGTAGAGAGGGAGTTGGACTTAGTTAAGAGTGGGTTTGGTTTCCCTCTGGTGGCAATGGTATTCCAGGCAGTGGCTAATTTAAGAGGATGCTTGCTGGCTGCAATGCTCTGTATTATTCTGTGTTGACGCAGAACAATAGAGGAACTAATATTATTCAGTCAGACTAATTATTAAACACCACGATGTCACACGATTCTCCTCTAAGAAAAAAAAGGCTGAAGTTGAAGTTGTTTTCCAAATGGTTTTCCACAGCTCCACTGATAAACGGTACTGCTCATTATCATTGTTTGTTCAACCCGTCTCCTTCTCAAACCCAGTATCACTGTCAATACCGATCTTATTTCTAAACCCTGCTCGTTCTTCCCTAACCCCCTTATCTCCTGGCCTCTCACCCCTCACCTTAAAACCATGCAAGTACTCAATCCCTGTCCGCTGCTCAACTCACATAACACAAGAGAGGGAGAATACTGAAAAGAAAGGTTAAGAAACGGAGTGAGAAGAGAAAATAAAAATAATCTGTAGACTTCATCAATTTTTCATGAATTTTCATTTAGACTAGGAGAACCCTCTTACAGCAATCGATAGATCAAGCTGCTGTCACACAGTTAGCACCTGCACGGGGGCTGCTGGATGGCCCTTGGGAAGGCAGGGGACCAACCCTCTACTCCTCCTTCTCCTCCCCCAACGCACAGTCCATTTCCCAAGCACAAACCAACTACTCAGCCTATTACAGTTTCCTCATCTTAGAACCAACTGCAACTTATATTTATTATGTGGAAGATATTCTTCTTCGTGTCTCTTCTGTTCTTACCATTTCAAAGTGTTAAATTAACAAAACACTTGCTAACCCTAGAGCACACGCTCAAGATCTCAAAGTCCCCAATACGATGACTAATCACATGGACCACAGAGCATCCAAAAATGTGTGAACCACAAAAAACACACATTACAAAAGACACCAGTGTTTAAAACACAGGGCTATACAGCTAAAAGCACTGACTGTTACAACAACAGATGGACAGGGAGACTTTCCACTTCACTTCATGGGCAGTTTGAGGCCCTTGGGAGCCGCTCCACAGGAAGACCAGCCTGAGCCTGCTGGGGGGGAAGCTCATCTTCAAAGGTAATATGAGCGGCATCTCAGGTTCTGATGTCAGTGCTCACCAACACAGTCCAGGCAGCCTGTGTCGAATGTCCATCAGGACTTTGATCAGTGTCCGTCATTCCACCCCCACCCACCTGTGAGAGACCCCTGTCTGCTCCACCACCACATCCCTCTCATGGAGTCTGACTGTAGCTTTATGCAACACAAAGATCTGCAGATAAAATCAATACAACTGCCTTAAGGCAAGACTATATGGAATCTCATTTAAATATTTGGTTGAAAATATCATTTACTTTCCCTCTCAGGCCTACAGGAAATGATCGCTGTTACATAAAGCAAGATGCAATCAACTCTAAAAATAGTGTTGCCTCAAATCTTGATTTGTTTGCCGTCATTCCCTAATCTACAGCCAATTAAATTTTCCATCATGTAGAAATAAATAAAAAAGATTTTATAATGTTCACAAGTAAACACTTGAATATTACATTATCTTTATAGCTTGTATTAAATGTAAATCCAGTCTTTCCATTTTCTGGAAGCAGCGAGATTGAGACTTTTCATCGTCCAGTCAAATTATTTATAAATCATGCGAGCAAACATCATTTCAGCAGCACAACAAAGAGAGGAAATAAAAAAAGAGGCAAAGTCTTGACTCACATGCTACTTCCAAAGATGCATTGCGGCTGACAGCTTCTCCCAGGTAGTTCCGTGCCACACAGACGTAGGCTCCCTCATCCGGTTTGCTCCGTCGTCCATGAACGATACGCAGGAAGAAAAGCGAGCCGCTGGGCAGCAGCATGCGGTGAGAACGTGAGTCGTCTTTGTCCGTTTCCACCCGCTCTCCATCCTTGTACCACTCCACTGTTGGGGTCGGCCGCCCCTCTGCTTTACAGTTGAGAGTGGCGGGTTCCCCCTTGGAGACAATCAGGTCAGAGGGGTGCTCCACAATCCGGGGTGGGGAGTCCTCTTGGCGCAGACGGGATCCTGGAAGAAAAAGAAGACATGTAATTAAGAAGAGTGGAAAAGTGCACACAGGAACGGCTGGTTTCTGTTTGATTATTTAAATCAAACATTCTCAAGCCAAAAACCTCTTCCCTGAACACAACAGCCTGTCTTTAAAACAGTACAAAGGTAGTTGTTGAATGAATAAACAGACTTAACAACAACAAATTCATTAAATGAACCATTTAGCTTCAGAAGACATCTGGAGCTGGATAGACAGGATGTGGTTGAGATGTAGCTCTATTATATACAGCAGAATGTGAAGTATGTCATTGAATGACTAAATAAATAAATAGTAACTAAATAAAGATTGAGGGTGCCGAATACGTCCAGAGGATTGCAAAGACCCTTGAGGCAAATCAGTGATGTTGAGGTTGATAAAACAAAGCTTTAAAAAAAACACAAATTAAGTACCAAACTTTTCATTTCAAAGTGTTTTCCTATCTAATGATCTGCACGCCTCCGAGGAAAACTGCGTCCAAGACGTGTTCTCTTGCGAAGATGATTCTGCCACGTATGCATTTTGATTTACAAGCGCAGCTACCATGTACTAAGCAGCATCTTGTGCTTAAGCACATCTTTAAACTTAACAATGCATTTTGTGAGGGAAAGAATAACAGACCGTCTCCATCGAGCAACACTTCTACTGAAAATGAAGAAATGCAAACGCAGCAACAGCACAGATGGAAGAAACCACGAAAACAGCACAAAAATCAGCAAGAATTTGTGCAAACTTATCTGCATTTTCACAAGATAATGACAAGTAACATTCATTTTAAACTAGGTGTCAAAAAGCAGAGGACGTCTTCCTGAACTCACACTGGAGATGAAAACTGGAGAGATTACTCTACAGTTATTTAGGTTTCTCTTGGTTAAGAACCATGTGAAAAACATATACTGAAGCCTTTAATTACCATTTCAGGCCAGCCAAAAAGCAGCCATCTGGTATTCTCCTATATGCAAGGGCTTGTGGGTAATTGGGCTCATGAGTGAACAGTGAATGGAGGCATACAGTTGGCTTACATCTGACCTTTACACAAGCGTAAATTACATATTTGGCTTTCATTGGGGTGCAAACAAGTAAAACTGTTGAGTCCACTGTTGTTAAAGTACACATGCGATGTGAATATGAATGGCGGAGTCCAGACTAATGTCAAATGCTAATCTCCTGGTGGCTGAAAACCCCTGGCCCATTCCTTTTCATTAGGGCTTGCAGTGGGTGAGGTCTGGGGGTCTGGCAGCTAAGATAATGCTCAGTCAGAGTGCACTGCGCGACTGTGATTTAACCGTGGAGATAAGATGCTGTGAGCAACACATTTACATCACAGAGGCCATGGGAACCATGCAACAATCAAAGAGTTTGATCCAGCATCAAACAAGAAGAGACACAGTAAAGGGAATGGGGAATGAGGAAAAGTTTTCCAACAGCTCTTTCTTCATCTTCTTTCTTTTGAACCGCATTCAATACACATCATCAATAACCCTGACTCAGTCATTAACAAGCTGCTTATATGAAGTGCAGCACTGGACTCTTTTTGTCTTAAAATGAGTTGTTGCAGGTGTGCATGTGATTGAGCCAGTTGATGACTGTGCCCTTGCCTGGGGCGGTGCGGTGCCGTCGAGTAATAGGACGAAGCTGTGCAGAGGAGCAGTGCACCACGTAGGCCTTTGTGCTTATGTAAGTGCTAATTTCAACACGAGATGGAAGGCAAAGTAGTGGAGGGTCCAGGTCTTTGTTTGGCTGGGTCTGCACATGTTCCACTACCCCTTATACTTGCATGTCCCAGGGGAAACGGGGACAAGCTGTACCACGGTCTTTTCTGCGGGCAAAAGGACAGGCGCAAGTAAAATCCCACTGATCAGCACAAAATACACTTCAAAGACTCTGTGTGTGCAAACGTTCACACAGACACACTAACGCACATGCAAACACATGCATTTAAACTGTGTAAATGTGCACTAGTCCACTGTTTGAATTAACAGGGATCAGGCATCAGACAGTAGCATATTGACCCCAGAACAGGAGGTAGTCTATTCTCTCCTCTTCCTAATTTGGGCTAATTCCCTCCATTTCCCTGTCATTGATTAGTCATCAGGCCCGGTGTCCTGCACTAAGTGGGGCCACAGACAGGGGTTTGTAGTGGGGGGGGTGCTGATATCCTGGTCCTGCAGTGCATGATCTAATCTCATTGGCATTATGTGGAAAACTAAAGATGACCAATTGGGCGTCGAACTAAACCGTCCAGTATGTTGCTGGCAAGTTTCTACACAATGTCTTTCACCAGTTGTCGGTAACTTAGGCAGTTTCCTAGTCAGAGCGGGGCACAGGGGCAAGTGTGTGTTCTGGCAGGAAGTGGCTTTATAAATGAAGCAGTAATTAACACTGTGACATTGATAAATGGAGGGTAAGATAAAGGACAGACATGAAGACCCCCGTCTCGCCCGGTGTCAAATGCATATTTATTCTTATCTTACTGGAGCATCTGCTTCCCCCATAATCCACTGGCCCTGCGGTGGCTCTCCACTGAGGCCGATGCGCATGCACAGCACAAAACTACGGTGACTCCATTCGATTTATATCAGTCTAATTTCTTTAAATCCAATTTGTATTCCAATCTAGTGCCCTCTAATCACTTAAACCTTGAGTCTCCATCTGCTCTCCACTTTCCTGTTAAAATGAACACAGCAGATGCCTCTACAATTGTCCTTCCACTGCCAGAAAAGGCAGCGGCGGGTGCATGTGACTGGTCAGTGTACTTCCTGAGAGGAGGGTAGTCAGGAGTAGAGGCAGAAAAGGTTAAAAGCGCCCCCATATGCCAGGGAGTATGTTTTAAAAGAGGCTCATCAATCTTGATATTGGCAAACCCCAACATGTAAAACCTCTTTCATTTTCAAAACCTGTGATTATGTCTTTTCTTGTTTCTTCCTGTGGCTCAAAGTTGCTTGTGATGCCCCCAAACGTGTGATGTCCAGGAAGGCACCATGCAGCCATCGGGTTAAGCTTCCACAGAAGTGAAAGTCAATTTTCAGCTTCCTATCAGGCCCCCTCTCTCACTCTCTTTACAGTAAATGGGCTTTCTGTTGCCCTTTTAATGCGATCATTGGCGCTGTGCAATCAAGTGCTCTCTGAGCTGAGGCGAGTGCACTTCACTGGGTCTCGCGGCACACGCTCCAATCAAAACGCTGTGTTTTCCCCTGACTGCAATAACACCACCATTACTTTTCACCACTGCTGTGAAGTCACCCCGTCCTGGAGGAAAGTAGGGACCAGAGAACAAACAAACAAGCGTGCAGACAGAGAGTGAAATCAGAGAGGGATTACTGAGGTGGAAGCTGATCCTTTTCTGCCCTTTCTTTCAGGCTACTTATGTCAGCTTCACTGAAATCGGATGCTTCTTTGTAATGCTGCTGTCCAAGAAATGTCCAGTGCTTTCTGCCTCTTTAGTGTCTTTTCCGTCTTCAAAACAATCACTTCACATTTGTCACTGAAATTTAACTTAAGGCAAATAAACATACTTATAGAAAAATAGATAAAATTTGAAGTTCAAACCCAGGACGACTACACCGCAGCTCACGCTCCCTCATATTCCACTGACCACACACATAGAAGCGTTTTTTTTTCTATTATCTTTGTCACATATTTATTCATGTGTGCAACAGAAGGTCAGCCCTTTGATGATCTTTTTGTAATTATTTTTATTAGCTCCCAGGAGAAATCCCGGCCCACCAGCCGAATCAATACCCACACCAGTCTCAGCCTGAGCATAAAAGGAAGGGCTCCCCAAAGAGATATTAGTTATTCGGGCCAACAGACATGTGCGCTGATCACAGGTAACCAACGGCAACCTTATAGACCAAGGAAAAAAGTTCCAGTCACTGAGGCTCCATAAAACATCAAACATGAAAAAAAAAAAAACAAGGTCCAGGCCAGGACTCAGTAAAACTGTAATCTGGAGAGTGAGATGGTGGAGGCATTTCAGGCAGAAAGTGCTGAAGCCCAGTGAGCCTAGTGAATACCAAAAAAGAAAAAAATGAAAACCTCAAAGAAATTTCAGAAGGAATGAATTATGCATTGGATCTATGTTGTCCATTCTGAAATATATTCTCCTCCTGTCTCTCATTTCTCCTCAACCTCCCCCACTCCATCTCTTTCTCTCTATATATCTCAGCCTCTCCCTCCCAATATCTCTCCGTCTCCTTCACTTGCTCCCTGTCCTGTTATATCCTTCCCTCGCTGTGAGGGTGACGGAGTCATATCCATCATGTCATCGGAGGGGAAATGTGAGAGAGCGGCTGGGGGAAACTGGGGGTAGCGATGGGATGATGTTACTGGCCGTCCACGCCTCTGCACTGGCCCTGCCATGACACTCGCGAGCAGCCTGCTCTGCACCCGAGATTTATCTTCTTTATAGCGGGCTGTCATTGCTCCCCAACACCAGACACACAGCTCATCTTGGTGAGGTGTCACTAAAGACAACCTGCTGTATCTGCTGGAGAGTATCCCAGCTCAGCCACTGGATATGACCTCGGATATACAGCCAAAATCCTCACAGAGAAGACACAGAGAGTGAAGTGAAGGGCGTTCACAGGATCTTCCGCTTCATCTTCTATTGCAAGAGAGGGAGGAAGTCTGAGCTAGCCAGCTAGCGGGCTCACATGATGGGCTCTGTTCCACCTCAGTGCTCTGCTTACTGCCCCCCCGCCCCTCTTCTGCTAAGATCTATATTCTGAAAACAAACACAAGGGTAATTCTAGGAGCTGCTCCCAACCTCTCACTGCATCCCTGCCTGCCTCCAACAAACATTAGATTGAATTCCACATCGGGCGTATATTTCGGGGAGTGGCGTAGTGGGGTCGTATTGACTCTGCATCTGTGTATTTGCCCTCTCTCCCCCTTGCTGTTGGAATATATAAATAGATAACTGTGGGAAACAGAATATCTGATATTGCTACAAACGGCTGATTCACATTGCTCGCTTCAG